GTCTAAATAACCCAAAATGTGATGTCCACATATGTGGACGGCAGGTCCTAGGAGGTTAATAACAAAAGAAATGGCTGAACTTTACAATTTCCCCAAATAAAAAGTCCAAATTTGAGGTTTTTCACCTTGTAAAGCCTGAACAATTAAATAAATGCCAAAAAAAACCCTGTTTGTTGAACCTTTTACTAGGAAGAAAAAAGGAAACTAAATATCATTTTGCAGATACAAATTTTAATTTAAATGAATAATTTTTGCTATTTGTGCAGATGGTTTCTTAAAAGTTTTATTTGGGTTTTTCACAGATACGATACACATTACAGGATTAAATATGTATTATTTGTAAGCTCCGTAAGTACAGTAAAAATTTCCAGGAAAAAAAAGCAGTTTTAACCTCTGCTAAAAATTGACACCAACTCAGTTTTGTGTTTACTGCAGAGTTAAAATGTGTTCACCAGTCCAACAAATGTGATGTGGGTATCTTCTGCACTAATAAGGCTATAAATGCTCACAAATGCTGAATAAAATCTTTAATAACGTTAAGATGGGCAGCACGGTGGTTAGCACTGTTGCCGCACAGCAAGGTCTTGAGTTTAATTCCACCATCAGGCCGGGGTCTTTCTGTGTGGCGTTTGCATGTTCTCCCCGTGTTTGTGTGGGTTCTCTCCGGGTACTCCGGCTTCCTCCCACCGTTCAAAGACATGCAGCTTGTGGGGATAGGTTAATTGGATAATTCAAAGTGCCACTAGCTGTGAATGTGTGAATGAATGTGAGTGCGAATGGTTGTCTGTCCCTGCGACAGACTGGCGACCTGTCCAGGGTGTACCCCGCCTCTCGCCCTATGACAGCTGGGATAGGCTCCAGCACCCCCCACGACCCTGAAAAGGAGAAGCGGAAGCTAATGGATGGATGGATAACGTTAAGATTTTTACCACAATATGTACTTCAGGTGGGATTGATCTATGTATTGATCCCTTTGTAGAAGAACACCATTATTGATCACAGAAGACTCAAGTGATGAGGGTTGTTGCTGTTATTTATTTCTGATTTTATTCTGAATTTATTTCTTTGTCTTTCTCTCTGTCAGCTCTCCGGTCATCATCACCCTGGACAGCGACAGCACCCACGACGACGCCAACAACAAAAATAGCGGCAGTATCAGCAGCAGCCCACTCAGCAGCCAGCAAACCGTCGACTTCTCAGACCTTCCTCCGCTTCCATTGGTGCATTCGGCCAGTGTGGGCGGCGTTTTGGACGCTGAAATCGGAGAGCTTCCCGTTGACATTCTGGACCGAGGATACGATGGGTCGGACACAGAGCTGGCGGGCCGTTCCAAGGCAGCTAGACTGATCGCCATTGACAACAGCGATCACGAGGTGGACGTGGAGAACCTGGATGTTGATGTAGAAGGACCAATCAAAGCGACAGATCCAAAGACACCCAACCCCGACAGTCACAGAAACATGGGCTCTGTGAGCGTGGGCTCTCGACCAATGGGAGACCAGGATGCTGCCCGCGTAATGACTGATCTTCTTCATAAAAAACATACTGAAGCTTCAACCTCTGACAGCCACCTCTTGGCCTCCATCCTAAGTGACCTGGACAGGATCGCTGCACCTAAACGTGAAGCCCCGTTGGACATTGACGCCAGCTGCTCCCCAGACTCCAAAAAAAGGCGCTACCGAGATCCGTGTGGCGTTAGTCAGGCTCATCAACAGCAGGACAGCTGGAAATCCACTTTCTCTGAGGAGCAGCCAGTCCAGAATCAGGGCGCTACGTCCATAAACTCGCCATCTCAACTCAAGCAATGGAAGGAGGGGAGGGATGCCCCTCCGCTCCTCAGACAGGCCAGCCCGGTTCGGTCATACAACAGGAACACGCCGCCACCACTAAAACACAAAGATGCTGGGAGTCCACGCCGCTCCCCCATCTTTAACAAAGACCTCCACTCAGATCACACCTCTGCCGGACCAATTCTGCATAGTTTAAATCCCACCGACTCCTGTTCGCCCACGAAGCTGCCTGACGACAGCGAGTCCATCCCGCCCATTTCTGCACTGAAGAGACATCTGACCAGCACGTTCGCACTGAGCAGCAAGCCGGCCAACATGAGCAGCGTTTCAGCTGCTCTCTCTAAAGTCCGAGCACTAACCACTGACTTCGATCGCTCCGGTCACAAACCTCCTGTCGCTCCCTCTTCCTCTTCTTTTGCGTGTGATTCGACTCCCACGGCTTCTCGTTATTACTCCTTAAACTCCTCAGCTTTACATTCCACCAGGGAGAGCACGATGGGAATATCTTCCATCCTCTCACCCGTCGATTTAAATCCTGTGAATTCTTCATCAGACATTGATTTCCACTCAGCTGCTGGCTGGTCCAAAGAGAAGCCAGCTCCTGCTCACTCTACCTCCGCCAGCTGCAGGAATAAGACTCACAACTCCTTCTGGGCATCACCCATTGACTTTCATCGATTCAGCAGTGCTGCTGGAGGTCCCCCGGCACGTAGCGGCATGTACTCAGGAGTCAACTCTCACGACACATCACTTCCCGTTTCTGTTAGTGATTCCAGGACTCAGAATGATGTCTCACCCCCTAACTCCTCCTGTTCCAGTAATCTGACTCTAATTGGCTTGACAACAGCTGCCACGCCGTCCACCGTGAACCTGCTTCCAGTTGACTTCCACTCCTCCAGTCCGGCCTCGGGAGGACGGACAGGCGAGGAGACGACGTCGGTGCTGAACTGCGAGGGAAAGCCACTCTCGGTGGGTCTTGTTGCACCTGCTAACTTGCATTCGTCTTGTTTGATTGACGGACATTTGAACCACACAGCCTTCTCCTCCTCCTCTACTCCCTCTGAACACAGCATTACATTCAACGCCTCGCACAGAAAGTCCGAACTCGACATGGACCCGAATCTTCTCCGGCCCCCCAACCACGTTGATCCTGATTCAAAACATAACCTCCCCCCTGACTCTGAGCCTCCACCACCAAAATACGCTCAGAGGGACTTTGAGCCCCACACGGACAATCACATCATCTCGGAGTATAACTCCACTTCTACCACTGACACCCATCCATACGAACGCTCCGCCACGTAGGACACGATGAAACGAGAGATTTAAATGTTCGGAATAAATGTCAGGGACAAACTGTTGCATTATACTTTTAGCATCATTTTTCATGAACCATTTATAAACTTGTGTTTATTTAGAATTTAACTCGAGTACAAACACATTCCTAGTGACTGATTTTCAAAATAAACTTGTTTTCTGAGGCAGCACCAATAAACTGATTGTTTAGACATGAGCACTGTCATGTACTTTTGTATTACTTTTATTATTTTAATCGTTGAGGCAAGCGGGTGAAACCCCCTCCAAACCTCGCTATCAATTGGTTGGTTTTTGTTTGTTTTCCCATGTTCAAACTGCTTAAGAAAAAAAAAAAGTGTAAGGATGAGTCCAGAGTGAAGCACTCTCAATCACATGTAGTCCACAAAACCGGTAGCTCTAGACTAAAAGTAAAAGACAAGGTGTAAACCTGAACAAAACTGGCCTTTTCAGGGGAATGATGACTGAATTTGGTAATGACACTCGGACACATGCTTGTGTAAGTGAGTGGATGTTTGTGCGTTTACATGTTCTGTGTGCAAAAAAAAAAAAAATCTGAATAAAAGTTTGGTTTAAAAAATCTTTTACAGTAATGTAAAAAAAATGCTTTTTTTACTCAAATGTATGAGCAATGTTGGCAGTGGCTTGTAAAACAGATGGAGAAGTAATGACTCATTAAAGCTTTCTGACTCATCATATATTTGAATGGAATTTGGATTTATGTACTGGGGTCCATTGCTAAAAATACGTGACATTAGCTTATCGTGGTAACGGATCTTTTTTTCTTTTCTTTTTTCAAACCGGTTACACTGGTGTGTTCCTGCATTGTTTGACAATGAAAAGTAAAAGAAACACAGACCTCCAAATCACTAACTTGCCCACTCCAGCTCCTCTCCCACAGGGGATTTGTAGAAAAGGGCGGCTGCATTTATTTTCACATTAAACATAAAGTACGAACTTACATGGAACAAATTTGACTTAGGATTTAAAAAAAAAAAACCAAAAAAAAAACCAACAACACGAAATCTGACATGCCTGACAATGAAAGGTAACAAAGACATGCAAGTCATTAACTTGCCCACTCCAGCTCCTACAACCAAATGAGAAGAGGGTTAGCTCAACCCTCCACAACTCCCAAG